CTGGAGAATTCACATGGGTCTAGGAGACCAGCGTTTGATCCACTGAGATGGGTGTAGGAGGATATAAAATGGGATTTATTAAGGTTTTTAGAGGAATTGCATAACATGATCATATCTACAATATATAATTTAAGATGATAACCCTGGTACCATCGAATAGGATAGATTGGATGGGGACTAGGTTGACCAATTCAGAGGTGACTGCAATTGTTCAAGCAAGGGTCAGCAAAGTTTTCAATTAGGGAACTCATAATAGAAATATGAAGTTAAGTATGAGCTGCGCTTCAGGGGTAGACTTGGCAGAATTTGGCAATGAATTAAACAGAGAGTGAACAAGAGGCAGGTGCCATGGTTTTGAGGGGACTGGGGAATCTAAGAAGAAATGCTGGCTTCCAGAACCGGGAGAGAGGTGACAATGAGTCTGGATACACTGGGTTTGTGGTGCCTGCAGGCCATTCAGGTGAAGACACGCCACAGCCAGCTGGCCACTAAGGGCCGGAACTCAGGAGGGGGCTTGGGCTAGGGACATAGGTTGCAGTGATGGCTGAAGCCCTGGGAAGGAGTGACATTATCAAGGAAGAGAGTGTAGTATGAAAAGAGATAAGGCAGGATCTGGGAAATGTCCACAATTCGGTGGGGGGTGGGGGGAATTGAGAAGATGCAAGCAGAAAGCCAAGAGGAGAAAATCATGGTGTCATAGAAGTCAAAGAAAGGAAGACCAAATGTGACTGAAATTTTTCATAGACGTATCTGAACCAATCCATTTAGATAAATGTTAACCTCTATTTAGTTATAAATGTTAACTCAAATCTCTGGGACTTAGCAATCTGTGAATATACATATAAAAATCACTATTCAGATAAATATTCAAAGTAAGATGATTCTAGCCCATCAAGATGATTGAGGAAAAATAGCCCTCTTGCCCAATTATCCCTTAGAAATTTGGTTTTTAGAGAAGAGCCATGCCATAGTCCCTAAGTTGCTTCTCATGTGTGCTAGAATAGGTCCCTCAGGTTGTCCCACCCTGACCTTCTTATCAGGCCACACTGGTCACTTGTGATGTTGCCATTGACCCTTGAGAGATCACCATCTGTTTCAGGGCCCAGCTGTCCTCCAGAGGTAACTGCTGGCACCACCACCCTGAGCATATGGGACTTGTGAAAGTTACCACAGAACAACTGAGACCAGATAGTAACTTTCAACAAGATCTTTCTGAAGATTTGGGGATTAAGAGGAGAAACAACAAAGAATTCTGTACAAGAAGAGTAACTTACAAGTACCAGTAGATGTCGCTATTCTCAACGCTCTCAGGCCAAGACAAGACCTTGAGATCCTTGAGCTGCTAGAGAAGACCTGTTCAAGGAGTGTCTCAGTGGTACTCACTCACACTCCATTCCTCTCTATTCCTTCCTCTTCTCATTCCCTTCTCATCCTCCAATATACCCCACGCAGCCAGCCAGGCAGCCAGGCAGCCAGCCAGCCAGCCAGACATGCACACACACGCACACACACACACACACACACTCCTACGCTCTCACTGGTTTATGCTGAATTTAAGAATACTTTCAGGCGTTGCTCAAGAGGTTATGGCTGCTATAGAAGAGCACGTTGACATCAGTGATTTTGGTAAATTAATTAAAACAAGACTTGTTGCCATTGAGTCGATTCTGACTCATAGTGACCCTATAGGACAGAGTAGAACTGTCCCATATGGTTTCCAAAGAGCAGCTGGTGGATTCAAACTGCTGGCCTTTTGGTTAGCAGTGGAGCGCCTAACCACTGGGCCACCAGAGCTCCATTAAAACAAACACCTTTGAAAATATCAGTTAATTGGAAAAGGCTGGTTTCAGCTCTTATGTAAGCAAGTGTGCACTGCTTTGGGGTTTCTTATTAGCTACATAATATGTGTTCATGCAATCCTTTTTTTTTTTTTTCAGTACAGGAGATATCCTGTTCTACTATTTTCCTGGAATCACTTTTAGCAAAAAAAAAAAAAAAACAGTATTGTTTTCCCTTCATGATGTCAGTCTGCTCCTTAACAACTTAGTCTTTTTTCAATGACTTATTTTCTCTTATTTTCAAGTATTTAGAGAAAAAAAATGAGTGATAAATGATCTTCTTGTTCATCAAGACAGCTACTAATATTTTCTGAACTTGCAAGAACCTAGCTCTCAATTTGGAATACTTTACGAATATTCTTAGAAACATGAGCTCTAAGTGATCCTAGAAATGCATTTCAATTTTTTGGGGGGAGGGGGCAGGAGGGGCTTTATTCTCCCTCAAGGGACTCATCTCAACCACTCAACATTGTTTCTCCTGGAAATTCTTCATTCTTATCTCATACATAGCTGCATTTCTGTGTTAACAATGTTGTGCTCACTTTTGCCATATGATCTAAGGACCTTAGGCTTTTCTTTTGAAAAAGCCAACATTTCCCTCTCTTAAAAAGATTGCAGAATTGCCCAACAATAATGATAAAAGTCACTTGGAACTTTCTTAATAAGATTTTACAAAGAATTTATGTCTCCTTAATATGCAATTATCAGGGGCCTAATATATGAGTCAGAATCAACTCGATAGCAAGGGATTTGGTTTTGTGAATATATAGATGAAGTCCCTAGGTTGTGCAAATGGTTAAGAGCTTGGCTGCTAACTGAAAAGTTGGAGGTTAGCGTCCACCCCAAGGCACCTCAGAGGAAAGGCTTGGTGATCTGCTTCTGAAAAATCAGTCATTGAGTTCTGCTGTGATACATATGAGATCACCATGAGTTGGAATTGACTCAATGGAAACTGGTACCGGTAATATATAGATGCTACATTTCCATACATTTCTATGTACAAAAGTTTATATTTTTTAGGTGTTGAGCTGTATTTATTTATCCAGCAGATATTTAGTGACTATTTACCATGTGTCAGGCATTATGCTAGGTACTGAAGATACAATGATGAAGAAGGTATATACAATCCCTGCTCTTCCAGGGGAAGGAATAGAGAAGTAAACAGCCAAGTGCAATACAATGTAGTAATACTATGGTATGGGAAGTACAGGCTTCTGTGAGAGCTAGTAATTATATTAATGATGATAATAATAATCAACCCATATATAGCACTTACTGTGTCCCAGGAACTGTTATCATTTAATCCTCACAACAATCTTATGATGTTGGCACTTATTATTATGTTCTTTTACAGATGAAGAAACTGAGGCACAGAAAGGTTAAGTAATTTGCCAAAAGTCCCACAACTAATAAGTGGCAGAGCCAATATGTAGGTGGTGCAAACAGTTAATGTGTCTGGCTGATAACTGAAAGGTTGGAGGTTCGAGTCCACCCAGAGGCAACTTGGAAGGAAGGCCTGGTGATCTACTTCTGAAAAATCAGCCATTGAAAACTCTATGGAACACAGTTCTACTCTGACACATATGAGATCGCCATGAATCAATGGCAACTGGACTGAAACTCAGAACTGATGATAGTGGGAAGGAATCCAAGAGGAAATGATGACGGATGAGGAGTTTTAATAAAATGAATTGGAAGAAGTATATCCCAGACAAAGGAAATAATGTATACAAATACTGTCATTAAGAAAGCAAATCACAGTCAAGGAATTGAAAGAAGTTCAATTTTGGCATGTGAGGGTTGGAAGGGAGAAAGTGGTGACTTATCAGGCTGGAGTAAGAAGTGGCAGACCATGAAGAGTGTGGTAAATAAAAACCAGCTGCTGTAGAGTTGATACTGACTCATGGCAACCCCATGTGTGGTAGGGCCATGTTAAAGAACTTAGATTTTACCTTAAGAAGAGTAGGGAGCCATTGAAGCAAGAGGGTGATATGATCAAATCTGTGTTTTCAAAGCTCCTTCTGGTAGTGGAGTGGAGAATTGATTAGAAGGAGTTAAGAAGGTCCGTGTGGAGTCCTGTTAGACGGCTGTTGCAATAACTCAGATGTGAGATGATGACAGCCTACCCTACGGTTAATGGCAGTGGGAATAGAGAGACAGGAAGATGTGAGAGACATTTAGAAGACAGAGTCCATAGGAATGGGTTACTGGTTTTATATAGGGGATGGAGAAGGGAAGATGATGCTATGCCTTGGGCAACATGATGACTAATGATGTCATCTAAGATAGAAGAAAAAGTAAGCAGAACTGTTTGGTTTGAGGAGGGAGGTGAGTTTAATTCCAGACATGTTGAGTTTTAGGGACCTGTGGGACCTTCGAATGCTGATCCCTGGAAGGCAGTTGGTATATAGGAATGTAGCTCAAGAGACAGATTTGAGTTGTAGTTACCCTTTTGGGAGTCTTCATCATTTATCTGGTAATTGAAAGCATGAATGTGGATAAGTTGCCCTGGAAAAGTGTAGAGTGAGAAGAGAAGAGGGCCCAGGTCAGCACTGAAGAACTATAACATTAAATGGACTGACAGAGGAAGAGGCTCCTTCAATGGAAACTAAGAATGGATGAATGGAAAGGAAGGAGAAAAACCAGATGAATGAGTTGACATGGATGCTAAAGAGAAGAAAACTTAGGAGGAAGACAATCTTGTAAAATTCTACCAAGAGCTCAAGTAAAATTAATGACAAGGATGCTGGTTGTAGATGAGCTTGACCATTATTGTATGTTTTGGTGGCTTTTTACTTTTCTTTTTCCGTGATTGGTAATGCATCATTTAAAACCCATGAGTAATGTCAATGAATGTCTTTGGAAATATTGTTCGAACAATTTGATTTACTGGAAATGTGTTGTCTTCAAGTGATCATTTGATTCCACGTGACTTGACGTTGTCAAAAGTTAATTTAAGGAGTCCAGATGAGAGATGTTTGGAGCTGATGCTGATTATATACCTCATAATTAGATTGTATGGATCACTTCCTTTCAACCAACTTTATTGAAAGTCTACTTTGGGTATGGTGTGGTAGAAGATGAAGAAGATATTGTCTGCCCTTGGCACTTAGTCAATAGAAAACATCTGTTTCATTTGTTCCTCCTTTCCTTCATCCACAGGTCCAAATGAATCCAGGACTTGGTGTTGGGAATGGTGAGCTTTCATCTCTGAATGGCCCCTCAGGGGCTGACACACTTCTCCAGGGCTCCAGGCTAGCGCCTGTCTCCGCAAAGAGGACCCTAGAACCAAGGAGCAGGAGGAGCCGAGTCAGGAGCTCCAGGATGGGTTCTCTGGAGCTTCTGGAGCCAGGTGGGAGACTAACATCAGACAGCTGCAGTGGCACTACATGGAAAATCCCTAACTGGTCCTCCCCGGCTGGCAGCTCAGCCACGAGCACCCAGCTATATCTGCCTTCTCCCCACTTTGAATGTGGGGTCAGAATGGAGGTCCTCAGCCAAAGAAATTGCTTTCAGAAGCTTGAGGCAGAAATGAATGTTGACACAGGATTCACTGTGGTCAATTCTGAATCCAGGCAATCTTCTTTGAGCAGATTTCCAAGGGATATGCATACCAGCCAGTCTCCATCCTGCTTGCCAGCCACCTCTTTAGTGGAAGCTGCCTCTAAAAATGACAGAGTCTTTGAGGAAAAGACTCTGTCACTTGCTAGCCAGAGGGACCTTGGTGCAAGGAAGATAATCTCAAAATGTCCCCTTCATCGGCCAGTCCAGAAGGAAGAAAAAGAAGAAGAAGAAGAATTCTTTATATAGCATAAAACAAATGTGATTTTTCAAGATACGAGATCAGGTACAGTTTTCTAGAAATGGAGCACTGACCCAGAAAGGGCCTGTTTCTTGTTAATGGGGGAAGGGGGAAGGGCTGAATGCTACCCATGAACAGATCTCTATTGCTTTTATTTCAAAGGTTAAAAGTCTAAAGGTGCTGTGAGTGGTTGTTTATTTGCCATCACAGTCATAAGGGAACACAACCAACGTATAGGGAAAAAGCCTACTGCCTTGTGTTCCCTGGGGAAGCACTAACCCTGCTTGGTGTGTTGAGTTCAACACCTGTTTGCATAAAATTGCATTGTATGAAATGAGTCAGCTGTGTTTTGCAAGGTTCATTAGTGTGTGTAACTTGGTTTAGATTTTTACTCGGGCTGTGTAGCTCATTCCCTTGTACAACATGGTGTACTTATTCTTTAGTACTTTTTAATTTTTATGTGGCCTCTTCTGGCAACTAGGCCTTGTTCACCACATATCCTCTTGTGATTTTGCTTTTAAAGTTGTTTGCTTCTGGAACTAGTTAAAATGCAGTGTTCTGAAAATTGTTAACAATTTTTTCCCCATGTTAAATGAGCAGAAACACTGAAAGCCAAAAAACCAGGTTAAAACTGAACTCTGGACTTGAGTTTTCTTGCTCTTTGGTTGGTCATCTGTTTCCGCATGACTCCAGAGGGGCCAGTGGTTTGAGATCTCCCCTGAGGAGAGCAGGACTAGATTAGATGGGACACTGGGTCAGGACTTGTGGTTCTGCTGTCCATATTTGATTCCCCAAATTTCTTTGCAATACTTGTTAATTCATTCATTCAACAAATATTTATTGAGCACTGAGGTTTGAATTATGTGAGCATGGGTGGTTCAGTGGTAGAAATCTAACCTTCCATGCAAGAGACCTGGGTTCAATTCCTGGCCAGTGCACTCAAGCACAGCCACCACCTATCTGACTGTGGAGGCTTGCATGTTGCTATGATGCTGAACAGGTTTCAGAAGAACTTCCAGATTAAGACAGACTAGGAAGAAAGGACTGATGATCTACTTCCAAAATCAGCCAATGAGCCTCTATGGATTACAACAATTAGATATGCAAGCATTCATGGGGGTAGTGCAGGACAAGACAGCATTTTGTTCATTGTGAATGGGGTCAACATAAGTTAGGGCCAGCTTGATGGCAGCTAACAGCGACAAGCACAACAAGTTTGAAGAAGACATTTTATATATGGTACAATTCATGGCCATCAAACTCAAAAACTGTTTATAATTTTGCCACCTTGATAACTCCATTCTACTAGCTCTTAAAAAGATGTTTAAGTCCAAACTTACTCCACCAGGAATTCTCCACCATTGACCCCACACTTGCCACATCTGCAACCTGAAGATGGACACTGGGACGGTTATGAAGACAGACAATTATGAACTGCAATTATAATCATAATGGACGCATTTTCGGTTGTCCATAAGCTAAGTTTTTTTTGATTAGGTCTATTACACACATTTAAAAAATCTGAGGTCTATGTGTTTTAGTACATTTACAAGATTATTAGACTCCATGAACTTCATTCTCCAGGAAGGATATTGCATAAGAATATAAATGACACAGTTGTTGCAACAATAGGCTCAAACATATCTACTATTGTGAGGATGGTGCAGGACCAAGTAATGTTTTGTTCTGTTACACATTAAGGTTGCCATGAGTCAAGATGAATCGACGACACCTAACAACAACAAATAAATGCTAGATTTAGCTGAATCTTTTGGAAGCCTGGATACTCAGTACACCCATCGGAGAGAAGGATAAATTCTAGTCTAAGGATGAATCCTGGGACAAGGAGACTAGGTTAAGACTGTGTGGGTGCCACTCAATGAAAGGGACAGAAATGTAGGAGAGCTGCAAAGGGACAAAGACAAAAATAATAACTGAATTTTATTTGTCCTTACTACATCAATATATTCTCATTTCCATTTTCTTTCTTTCCCTCAGATTAAAAGTAGATCTTAGAAAATGGGATGAAGAACTTAATTTTGGTATGGTTTTCTAAAATAAGTGTTAAAAAAATGAAAGTCTTATTTAATAAGTCAAACTATTAAGCTACCTTGAAAAGCACAGCAGGATGAAGTTTGGAAGGTTCTTTCCTTTTTTTTTTTTAGGTTATCTTAATTTCTTTAACATAATACACGGGTAAGAATATAAGTGCCTGGAAATCAGGAAGAACATTGAGAAATATGAATGAGTACCTTACAAAATTGACTTGTAAAATAATATATTCTTAAATTCACCTTCTCTGTCCTCCTACTCAATAAGGTAGTCCTCGACTTACGACTTAATAAGTTGAATTTTTTTTAGTTTTCATTGTTATTGCCTTTTATTATCAGTATATTTATAAATCCGATCTTTATTTGTCTTTGGGGTTGGAAACATTACATATAAACTCAAGCTTCAACATCAGAGCTTCCTGCTTCTCCAAGTATACGCACCCTACATAAACCAAAAAAAAAAAAAAAAAGAACCCGGAGGGTGGTAAGTGTGGTTCATTGTAACTCAAATATCTAAAGTTGGGGACTACCTACCTGTACAGGAATCCAAGATGAGAGGGAAACACCAGTAGATTGGGTGGGAGAGACCCAGATTTTGTTTTTTTTCTTTTTGTGTGTATGTGTGTTAAAATTATTTAATTCAAACAATTTGGAAACTACTTTCCGTAGGAGAGATCATGTCAGTCACAGAGAGCGCAATTCACTTAACCGACTTGTATCATCTTTCCAGAAACTGAAACCATATGAGAGTTTAGTAGGAAAAATCATAGTGTCTTCCTGATTCCTAGAATGAGGTTCAATGTTTAATAAAGTTAGTTAAAAGCTGTAAGCTACATATCTAAGAAAATTCTGTTACTTAGCCTTAAAAATCTAGGTCCCAAAATGGAAGTGTAGGCTGCCCCCTAAGGCCTGACAAATAGTGCCAAAGACACTGCTGGCCACCAGCACTCTGGCCACCCACACATTGTCCCCAGGCCCTTCTTGACATGAATTGACAGCAGAGTTCCTGAAAACATTATCTGTGGGCTGAGAAACCATGTTAATGATAACAGTAGTCGTAGCTACCCTGTTCTGTGCACCTTAGATGTACCAGACTTTCTACCCAGATGTTTTATAGTTTGTCCACCATGCTGTTGGAAGTAATGTGGCCTAGTCGGTAAAAGAACAGGCTCTGGAGCCAGAGGCTTCAGTTGGAATCCAAGCTCTCCATTCCCAGCTGTGTGACTTTAGCTCCTCCTTGTCTGATTTCTCACCTGCAAAATGAGGATTATAATATTTACTAGCTCATGAGGTCATTGCGAGGATTAAAAAGCACAAAGCACATATATCACTCAGAACAGTGCCTGGTACAGAGCAGGCAGTCAATGAATGACAGTAGTTATATCCCCTGAGAAGGACATCATGCTTGGTAAAGTATAGGGTCAGCAAAAAAGAGGAAGACCCTCAATGAGATGGATTGACACAGTGGCTGCAACAATGGGCTCAAGCATAACAATGATCATGAGGATGGCGCAGGACCTGGCAGTGTTTCTATTGTACATAGGGTCCCTATGAGTCAGAACCGCCCCGACGGCACCTAACAACAACAACAATTGTCATTATTTTCACTGTTGTTGTTGGGAGCGTTAACATCTTCATTTTCACCTATAATCAGCACAACAACAACGTTAGTTGTAGTTGTTAGTTGCCCTTGAGTCGGCTGGCACTCACAGTGACCCTGTGTACAATACAACAAAACATTGTTCGATCCTGCACCATCCCCACAATCAGTGGTATGCTCAAGTCCATTGTTGCAGCCACTGTGAATTTTTAAAAAAATTTTTTTAATGTACTTTAGATGAAGGTTTACAGAACAAATAGTTTCTCATTAAACAGTCAGTACACATATTGTTTTATGACATTGGTTAACAACCCCACAACATGTCA